ATACTGTAGTATAATAAAATATTTATTATCATCATATTATTATATTATTATAAACGATTGTATTTTTTAATACATCATTATAAATATTCAAGTATACTGTTATGAATATATATATATATATATATATAACATTAATCTGATTATATGAAAATAATATTTATTTATTTATTTATTTAACCTTCATTGCATATAAAAGAAGTTCTTAAAATGTTTGTTTAATAAGCTGTATTAACTGGATTGAACTGGATTTATTAAATATGGATTTATTTTCTTTTTTGTATAGCACCTGAAATGTTTAACCCATATTATGCATTTCAGGATTAATTGTAAACTGAATTATACTGTAAAATAAATAAATAAATAAATACAGTTTTATCAAATTAAAAAGAAAATAAATTAAATATTTCTTGTTCTTGTTAAATAAATTACTTGTTGCATTTGTAAATTGTTTTGGATAAAACCATCTGCCAAGTGAATAAATGTAAATATATTTTTGTTTATTTTTAGAAAAGCAAAGCAAGCCTGTAAACAGTTCAGGAAGTTTTCTGATGTCTTCACAGATGTTTTTTAAATAGCCGGTTCAGTTCAGCATCACGTATCTGAGTCGTCAGACCCCTGCTGTCGGCCCCATTGTGTTTCTCCTCCTCTATAATCCTGCATTTGTCCTCCGACGCTTTGACACCTGCAAGTATGAGGCGGCTCTCAGTAACCTGTGCTCTCGCTCCTGTTTCACTCCCTTCATGCTCCGCTGGAGAGCCTTTGTCTTCCTGACCCACTAAACACGCCGGAGAAAGACCTTCCCGTCAGACTGTCAGGAGTTCACACGCGGTTTATTTAGAGCGGCTTCATTTGGTGAATCACAGCTTAGTTACTGTATGCTTGCATTGCAGTAAAAGGCGTTTAAGTGCAGCTCAGGTCAATTAGAGCATCAATTATGGCAGCGATTTGTTAAAACTGCATTTTTAGTGATCTGTTCGGGGTTCCCACAGTCTTGGAAAACTTTAAATTGTGGGCTCCAGGCCTGTAAAAGTCATAGAAGTCAATGAAACCTTAAAAAGTCATACTAATAATTTCCATAGTGAATATCAGTATTTCGTTTTTTTGTTTTGTTTTACATTTAGTAAAAAAAAAAAACTATATATATATATATATCCCCAATTGTAAGTCGCTTTGGATAAAAGCGTTTGCAAAATGACTAAACGTAAACGTGTGTATATATATATATATATTAAAGATTTATGGGAGATTTTTACATGTCCTGCAAACAATATATATATCAGCATATTAGAATAATTTCTGATTTATAGAATTCTATGGATCATGTGACACTGAAGACTGGTGTAATGATGCTGAAAATTCAGCTTTGCATCATATGAATACATTAAATTTGAATATATATATATACATATAGAAAGCAGCTATTTTAAATTCTAATAATATTTCACATTCATTTTTCTGATTTTACTGTATTTTGATCAAATAAATGCAGCTTTGATAAGACATGAACATTAAAAAATGTCATCTATTTCAAACTTTTGTATTATTGGGTTTGTAAGTCTGGGCACTTTAAAAAAGCAAACCGTTCCTCAACGAGCTGCATGATTTTGGTGCAAATGATGTGTTGCGGTTCAGGATAGATATGAGAGAGAGCCGTAGGAATGGAGATGTTTGAGTCTGTAGGTCGTGTGGTTTTGTAGCAGATGTCCGTCTGTTTTAATAGAGCGGCAGTGAGCCATCTGGAATCCACGTTGTTTAGATATAATTACGGGTCCGGGTCTGATCCGTCACCATAAACACCATCAAAGAGGGCAGATCCTCCCAGATCCCACACACATCTCCTCTGAGCCACACTTGTGCTTTGGCTGCTATTAAAAGCTCCTTTACTGGCTTCAGCCAGGTGAAATAACTTCTTCAAGGTTATGGAAATGCATCAGAAGCTCTCCTTCTGCCCAGTCTTATTTAATCTTTCATCTTCAAAGCCACATGTATCTCCAGTTCTCTTGAAGTCGTCCATTCAGCGCTGTATGTTTAGTCTTCTCAGGCTTTAAAAGTGGTGTTTTTGGGTGGGCGCACTGAGACTGATATGCAGGCCATCCTGAATACAGCTTGTAGTTTAGACCATCGCTAAAGTTTTCAGGTTAAAACATGTTGTTGAAAAGATCTTCAGACTCCACATGTGCCAGAACCCTCAAACCCCATTCATTAATCTTTGATCCCCAACAGAAAGCCAAAATAAAAGGTTATTTGGTAGGGGTGTCTTGATAATGTTTGTATTCTATATATATTTCAATATATTTGAAAATGTATTGAATTTATTTGAACACATGCATATATTTCCCCCCCCCAAAAAAGTTTAGTAGTGTCTTAATATTTATATAAAAGTAAAATAAAATATTTTGACAAGTGTGTATATTTATATATATATATATATATATATATACTGTATATAGGGGTTAGGGTTAGGTTATAATCATTGCATTATAATAATTGCATTATTTTAAAAAACACAATGAAATATATAAATAATAAACAAAAAATATGTATTTATTTATTTTTGGAAAAAAGAGAATATAATAAAATTATATATATGTGTATGTAATGTTTTAAATATGTATATATTCAAAATATTGTATAACTTGTATAACTTATGTATATATTTTCATATATATGTCGTAAAATGCACTAAATAAAATTATATATTATTGTTAACTTGCATTTATATTTACTAACACAAAAACTAAATAATATATGATAATTAAATATCTATCTATCTATCCATCCATCCATCCATCCATCCATCTACTGTATACGGCCATATTATTTAGTTTACTTTGGCAGTCTTGAGTCATGTGGCCTGAGGCTTCGGAGGCTCCTGACAGTCCGCAGGCCCCGAGGCCCAAGCAGCTATTTTGTAGCCTGCCACAGTAACCTAAAAAAGTACCGTTAAACGATGTTAGAAATCATGTTGCCTTTCCTCCCATTGTTAGCCTTTCCTCTAAACGGCGGTTCTGCTCTTCCCTGCAGTTCGAGCGCTGTGATTATTCCTGAGTGATCGAGTTTCCTAGAGCACCAGTAAAGACTTTCTGCAGGAGAACCAAACAATGGCTGCCTGTGGAGGAGTGACCGTCTAATACAAGGCCAACAGAGCAGAAAGAACAGGGACAGTTAAAGTTAGAGCTTTTCTGGGGAATTTTCCTGGGCTTTTCCCATCTGCAGCTCAAACAAGTTCATTTCCATTTTCTCCACTCCTCTGCCCATTTAAAGGGACAGTTCACCTAAAAAGGAAACTGTTGTTGATTTACTCGCCCTCAGGCAATCTAAGATAAGACTTTGTGTCTTCAGTAGGCAAGTAAATAAGATTTTTAGCTGAAACCGTGGTACTTGGTGATTCATAAAATGCAAGTCAATGGCTACCCGCACTTTGAGAGTCAAAAAAGCACATCAGACAACACAAAATGAACACAAGTGACTCCTGATGATATATTGAGGTCTTATGAAGCGAAACGATTGGCCTGTGCAAGAAACTGAACATTATTTGCATGGTTTATGTAAAAAGGTGAGCTGATGAAGACTAGTTTATTCACTTTATATGCTTTAGAGACATAAAACATCCACATTTCACATCATTATTTGGTGCTTTAATAATATAAATGCGTATACGTTATGTCATTGCATGATTACATAAACAAATTGCGAATCAGTTATTTGAACCAGAAACAAACTGTTCGAAAGAGTCTCTGGATTACAGGTAATAATGTTGTAAATAATGTTTAGTTTCTTGCACAGACCGATCGTTTCACTTCATAAGACCTCAATATATCTTCAGGAGTCACGGGGATTAAAACCCATTTAATCCCACCGGTCACAATAGTGACCGTAAAAACGGTTTTCATTGATAAAGCTCTAAAAACCTTACTGACTGATGTTTTAGTGCACTTCCTGCAAATATGGAAAAAATAAAGGGTCTCAATTAAATATGTGCAGTGTCACATGGTTAGTGCAAATTGTCACATGACCAGAGCAGTTTATTTCCTGTTTGCACCTTAATAAGATGATGACTGCATCAAAGCACAAAAACGAAAGGCTATTAAAGTATGTTAACATAAAGATTTTTGGTACACAATATCTTTAAGGTGTCTAGTATTAATATATGAATTAACATATATTCAGTTTTGTTGAGTGTGGTCATAGAATGAGTAAACATGTTGATGGTCACAATAGGTATACAATATAAATAGTTGCATTTGTTAGTGAAAATTACACTAAAATGTTGCAATGACAAAATAGTGCACTAAATTAAAAATTCAAATGTTACAAAAAAATTACAATATTGATGTTGTCATACTGGTAGCACTAATATAAAAATTTGATGTTATATTTTACAAAAAAGTAACAATTTTGAAATGCGTTGATGGT